TCAAACTGGCCAAAGAGGAATCTTCCCCAGTCCAGCTACAAATTGAGAAGGGTTTGGGCTATAGATTTGGAAAGTTTCGAATTTGCATCCCTTCATGGTGTTTTAAGGATTTTTTTTAAATCACGCGCTTTTGCCAAAGTTGCAACTGCTTCTCTACAGAAATCTATTTTTTAATCATAACCATTTATAGGCTTGCCCGTATCGGCGTTGGAAAGAGAAAAGTTGGTTTTATAAACCCCAAAAGTTTGGGTGTTCAGCCTTCAGCGGGGGAGTTTAGAAATATTTAAAACTCAGGCTAATTTTGCCCAAAATAACGAAATAACCCCTGACATTGCTAAAAAAATGTTTTTTTGCAAACGGGCAAAAAGGAAAACTTCTAAAGTTAACTAGTAAATTGGCAAATGTTCGGGCTGTATATTGGGAACGTTTCGAATTTCTACCCTCTTCAGGATACTTTTGGTAATTTTTTTTAAATCAGCCACTTTTGCCAAGATAACGACTGTTTTTTACCGGAATGTATCGTCTAAGCAAAAATATGGACTGACTTGCCCGTATGGGCATTAAAAAGAAGAACTTTCATTTTATGAGCCGCGAACGTCTCAATTTTCTGCCACCAACAGGCGGTTTTACAAATTAAGTTTATATATTTGGATAGTTTTGCGCAAAATAACGAAACAATGTCGGCCAATGCGAAAAATCAATTCCTGCGACGTAGCAAAAGCTGCAACTTTCAGAGTTTATGAGTGAATCGGAAAATGTTCGCGCTGTTGATGAGGAAAGTATCGGATTTCTGACTATCGGACCATCTTCAGGGCATTTTTGATGCTGATGATGATTGAGGTTTACCAAAATTGCAGCTGTTTCTTCACAAAAACGTATCTTAAACGAAAACACACATTGATATGCTCGTATCGGCCTTCAAAAAGACAAACTCCCGCAGGGTATTTTGAGTTAGTAGAATAACAGGAAGGTTTCGAACAATTTCGGCCCTTCTCAGGAATATTTTGCTTCAATCGGGCCCAGTTGGAGATAAATAGACGACGCATACCCAGGCAAGTTTAGATGGTAGATCAGATCCAATAGGTAGAAAAATTCGTTCCTAGACGTAATCAGTGGCTAGATGTTGAAGAATCCGAATCTAGAGCAAGAGATTTACATATCTTAGACCTGTCGAAGTTGTGTCCTCGTCCATAAAGTAGTTTTTTTTATGTTAGTTAGTTTTACGTATGAGGCACGTTCTCCTTCAGTTAATTCATTTATTTATTGACTTTGTTTTAAGGTTTTTTCTTAATTTTCAGCATGCTGCACCATTTTTGTTTTCAGTTTGTTTTTGTTTCTGTTCTGGTAGATTGTTACAGCCATGAGTTCCAGTGCTCAAACGGGCATTGTGTAGACAATCGTTTGCGTTGCAATGGACGTCCGGACTGTAGTGATTATTCCGACGAATCAAATTGCGTTACCACCACTCAAGAGCCAATCACTTTGCCCCCAGCTACAGTGAGTCCACGTAGCTGTCCATTCGGCTACGTTTCCTGTCTGTCTGGGGATCAATGCGTGCTCAGAAGCCAGCTATGCGACGGACGCGTCAACTGTCCTGACGCTTCTGATGAGTCCAACTGCGGTAAGTCCAAAGCTGAGTGTTCTGAGCAAACGACACTCTGCACCATGTTTATCATACTTTAAACACAGGCTGTAAACGAGGCGAGTTTCGATGTGAAAATGGGCCATGCATTAATCAGGTGCTTAGGTGTGATGGACACGTGGATTGTCCTTTTGATATCAGCGACGAATTAGACTGTACATACAAAGTTGGGTTCTCATGTAGGTTTGGAACCGACGAGTGGTAGTTTTGGGCATCTAACTTTAATCAAATTTACTAATTTAAATTAAATCAATTGAATATATATTTTTTAAAAGCTTCCGACGTACCCAAGGATGAGTTATTTTGGGAAAAGTGACACTTTTTCTGCACCACCATTGGGTGAAAGTGGGCCATAAAGATATTTGATCCGCTGAATTTTCCAGGAAGAAAAATCGGTTTTTCAAAGTTTGTAAGGTTCTCCATATGGGTAAAATTCGTGACAACCTGAGCTGGTTTGTTTTGCCAAAAATTTTCCTGATGAGCTTCGGAAGAAAGCCCTTTTTGTACAACTCTATGGGCTTTTATGTGGGTTAAATCTTCAGAGAATCTTCGAATCCGGGAAATTGGAAAAAAGGAAGTTTTTTTTAAGAATTTTCTCTAAAACATTGATGGGAGGCTTCTGCAAAAAACGTTATCGCATAGACGGGGACTAGCTGAATATTTCATCAAGAGCAAGGTTTTTCTCTAAAGAGCTTCGTTTTCCAGAATAAAGCACGTTTGACAATCTATTAAAATCCTTAGGGTTTCACCCGCAGAATTGTTGGGTCAAAAAACATTTTTTTTCGGAAATTTTGCCTTCGTAAGACGCTCCTTATGGACAAGATAGATTCAAAAGTGGGTTGGTTTGTTCGGCAGTAAATCCCCAAGAGAGCTACGAGGGAAATCGAAGAATCTTGTTCAGGCCCTTACAGACGTGAATATTTGAAAATTGCATAAAACTGTCGAATCCTAATTGAATAATCAATTGAAATTCGCATCAATTATTGCGTACACTCGCTTCAATGGATTCCATGTGAATTTGATGAAAATTTTAAGTTGAGGGGTGAATGCCTGCCGTTTAAGCCCCATGCTGAACACAGTTGAGCAATTCGGGTTACGATGGCAATAAAAATTCGCCAAAATTTCAGGTTTCATCCGATTTCAAAATGAATCCCACCCGTTGATAGCGCATTAATGAGGCTTTAAAACCAGATAAAACATATAAAAATTATTTGACTCTAAGCCATTTAAAACAGCAAAAAAATTTGGGGCTTTTAAAATCGCCTTTTGCTGGCCAGATTTCGGTCTACGATATTTTCTAAACCAGAAATGTGTACTGGTTCCCAGTTGATATTTCTTGGTGCGCTCCCATCTACCGTTTTCAAAAAAAAAGAAAGAAAAGACAAAGAAGAATCCATAAAACTTCAGTTGCGAAGCTAGAAATCATCCTTACCAGCTTTGTGCAAGCCGGCGCCCTTTCCTCCATTTTCTATCCCTTAATCCTCAAAAAGCCCCCACTGCAGTTGATCCATAATGAAAATGCATGTCGAATTATAAACTTGCCTTAAGGGTCAGAATGATATTTGTCAAAAGGTTGGCTAAATGATCGACCACATTGCAGCCAAGTATTACTTATCAGGGCTTCTTTGGTGGAAACATCGGAATACATCACTTGATTTCGACACGATTTTTCTAATTAGTCTTTTGCTCGATTTTCATGGAAGTTTCAACTTTAGATGCTGGATATGTTCAGTATAGTCCGCCGCAATGTCAGATCCAGATTCAAGCCGTATGCTGATTTCTGAATGATTTCTTTTGCTCGCAGCATTAAAGCGATGGCAAACTTAACTTTTGTTTGGAACGCGCTCAAATTTGATCTGAGAATGTAGAATGTCGGATTTGGACTACAAGTCAAAATATGAATTTTTTGACGAAAATTTACTGTTGCAAAAATAAGAGGAGAATAGTTTAAAATTACCCTTTCAGAAGTAGCAGAAGTTTCATTTGAAAAGAAGCCGATTCTCACATGTTGTCATCTAACTTAAATAATTCATCGATCGATTTCAGAGGTTTACAGTAGCAGCAGGATTGAATGAAGCATCTTTTTGAGTTTTCAACTTCACATGTATGAAAGCGTGTAATTGGAGCAATTTGCTGAAACCTTACAGTTTAATTTGTTAAAAAGTTTTAGTAACTACTAAAATTAATTTTTTAACCGATCACTAAATCCTTCATTCATACTGCCTAATCGACTAAAACCCGTATTGGTTTTCAAACAGTTTGAGCTCATCCAGTAACACTTTTTCAACAGTTGACACCACTCACACTGGCTCGTTTTCTGCAACTTAAAAAACGTTGTTATAATTAAAATTTTCATTTGCAGCTGCTGGCGCCGATGGTCTACAACTTCGCACTTACCCATCGCAACAGAACATCAAAGAAAGTGAGTATTTGTAGCCCGATTTGAACACTCCTCAGAAAAACTCTCTACACCAACTAACATAGTTTATGTAGAAGATTGAACACTTTCCGTATATGTAACTAATTGTTTTTGTCTTGTCCTATGTGTTTTCTGGAGCAGACAGGTATCGACTTGGTGAGTAAACGGTTTTCCTCCATTGAGGGCAAAATCATCTCCGCTGTTTGGCTAAATCATCGAATAATTTCCCATGTTTTGTATCATTTGCCTTAATCTCATTCGCGAGTTCAGGCTCAAAAAGCAGCCAGTTTCTGATTGAAAAACGTGTGTATCATCTTCGGGCGAATTATGAAAACCTTAGGTTAAACTTAGGCTTTATTATCATGACGATTAACACCAAAAAAACAGCAGTTGTTCGGAAAAATCACGGGTTTCTGGTTCATTTCGGTCTGCTCTGTGCAGTTTAATCGATTCTTCTATTTCAGCTTGAAGCTCTTCAGTAAATAGTTGGGGTGTAGAACCAAAAGTGCAGTCGGTGTTACGAGGAAGAATAAACTTTTGGAGCCCAAAAAGTGGCTTCTATTTTCTTCTTTATTATTTACTAAGGGAGGACAGTAAATAGTGAATCAAGGGAGGAGTAAAGTTTAAATGTGTCCATGTTACTGTTTTTTCGGACAGCCTCACTGTGCAATAACTGGTCGGTTTTTGCGTTCCCTTGCGGAAATTATACAAAAAAGACAAATACATGCGGGCAAAAGTTGAAAAAGCGATGTTTGCCGCGGCGGTCATTCATATAACAATCAGTTAATTCTATTAAAATTTCCCATTGGATTTGTTCCTGCCATTGTTGAAGCAGTAATGCAAAAAATCCATTATTAAACCCAACTAACCACTGTACAGTGCCGGAGTTGCAGCTTAACAGCAAACACTCTGTATAAAATCCATTCAGCTTTTTGGAGGAACCTCCCAAAAACTTTCGGGTTATTCATGGGTGTTTTGACATGATTCTACCAAGACTAACAGTTTGCACGCATCACGACCCACCGTCTAACTCATTATAATGGACATCTAGATCAAGAGGTGGTGTTCCAATGCCGCGACGAGGGACCAATCAGAGCCAGGGTGGAGTGGAAGCGGGCCAATGGGGCGCCTTTGCCGCCCGGCTCCAGAGACAACAACGGCCGCTTGGAGATGCCCAACATCAAGCTGGAACACGGGGGCACTTATGTGTGTGTCGCCAAAGATTTCCCATTGGGAACCCCTGGGGCTGAGATCTCCGTCCAGCTGCATGTGGAAAAAGGTAAGCGTTCCAGCTAAAAGTCGGGGGGTTGATCCAACTTTGTCCGGAAAGGCGGCAAAGGACCAAAGGGACAGTCCTCCATACTTAAGTATGGCATCTGGGCGCCTCTGGACACTCTCTATCATGGCACAGGTAATAGATCCAGGTGCAGCCCAGGATTTCCATTAATTTTTAAAATCTGTTCCCCATTGCTCCTTGGGACACCCTGGTGAGTACCTGGAGTGCCAATACTCAAACACCCAAAGGCACTCTTTGACCCTCTCAATCATTCTTCTAGTTCCCGAAATCTACATTCCACCGCCAGTCCATTGCTACATCAACGAGTCCACATGTTCCAATGGAGACTGCATTCCACGCAACAAAGTCTGCGATGGCCACTTCGACTGCAGCGACGGCTCCGATGAAATCCGCTGCAGTAAGTTCGCCTCCCCAACCCCCAACTAGTTGCAGCAACAATTTGCTAATCGCAGGACAATGCGAGCCCAACGAGTTCAAGTGCGACAACAAGAAGTGCGTCTCGGCCGTCTGGAAGTGCGATGGACAGGATGATTGCGACGATGGCTCAGATGAGCGCTTCTGCCAGGCTTCCGGGCCGGATGGCCAATGTGGAGCCCAACAGTTCACCTGCAGGGACAGACAATGTGTGCCCAGAACTTTCCATTGCGATGGAGCCCCTGACTGTATCGATAAGAGTGATGAGATCGGATGCAGTAAGTGGGTTTTTTGCTGGCAAAGTCCACTCTTTTTACTCTGGCGGGGTGTTGCAGCTGCCCCCGTGATCGCTCAAGGCCCTCCCAGCATGATCACGCTGGCTGCCGGCCAGACGTTCATCATCACCTGTAGAGCAGTGGGGGTGCCCACTCCCCAGATCATGTGGAGACTGAACTGGAACCATGTGCCCCCCAAGTGCCGCATGACCAGCGAAAACGGCTTCGGTACCACCCTGGACGCTTTTTGCGGACACCCTCACTCAACTCGGGATGTTTGCAGGAACCTTGACGTGCGAAAACATCCAGATCGAGGACCAGGGCGCCTACTCCTGCGAAGCTTTGTCGGCCATTAAAACGGTGTTCGCCTCCCCCGATACCATCCTCACGGTGACTCGCCAGGCCTTTTGCCCAGCTGGATATTTCAACGTGGACGCCCGAGTGGAGAACGAATGCATCAAGTGCTTCTGCTTCGGCCACAGCAGCAGCTGTAGATCGGCCGATTTGTTCATATTCCAGGTGAGCGGACCCTAGTAGTAAGTAGGAGTCGAGCAATCACACACGCGTGTTGCAGTTCCAGCCGCCCTTCGACGCCCTGAAGCTGCTGGGGGCGAGGATCGACCCCCGCACCGGAGTGGTGGACATCCGGGATGAGCCCATCTACAAGGGGGTGGAGCCTCAGCTATGGAACATTGGGGCGAATGGGGTGGCGACTTCGCTGCCCAAGTATGCGGAGCTGAACCAACCAGACGTTGTCCCATACTTTGCCCTGCCCGAGAACTACCACGGCAACCAGCTGAAGAGTTATGGAGGCTACTTGAAGTACACAGTCCGACATGGGAACACTGGCAGACCCGTGGAGGGCCCCGATGTCATCCTAACGGTAGGGGACTAGCAGGTGTGGATAGCGCAAGGTCTGACGTGAGTTTGCAGGGCAACAACTACGTGCTCCTGCACGAATCGCGCGACCCTCCAGCCCCATTCCAAGCCGAAGAAAAACGGGTGAGGTTCTTCGATGGTGATTGGACGATCAAGTCCGCCAGTCAACGCCCACGGCCCGCGTCGCGCGAAGAAGTGATGATGGCCTTGGAGGACGTGAGCCAGATCCTCATCAAGCTGGCCTACAGCAGCGACGGCCTGCTCAACACCACGCTGACCAACATCGAAATGGACTCCGCAGCTGTGCCGGACAGCGGCCTGGGAGTGGCCAACTATGTGGAAGAGTGCTCGTGCCCGGTGGGATACACTGGAACCTCCTGCGAGGTAAGCACGCAAAAGACCCCCTGGCTGCAGGTTTGATGGGCGTTTTGTTTAGAACTGCGCCGAAGGCTACGTGCGACACAACTCCGGCCAATGGCTGGGACAGTGCTACAGGGAGCCTCAAACGTGCCCTCCAGGCAGCTACTTTGATGGCAGGGAGTGCCAAGTCTGCCCGTGTCCTTACACAAGTCCCAGCAATCAGTAAGTATCAAAAGAGGATAGACTTTCGAGACCATTCCTTGAGTCTAATGGGTTTTTAGGCCGTCGTTCGGTAGAAATTCTTCTTGACGTTTCGCAAGCACGAGTGGCTTGCATCTTCAGAAGTGGTTTGCTTGAACGCTTACACTGTTCTCATCAGAACCCGTTCAGTTCT